AAGCCCCGCCATCCCAGGCTCGCAGCTCTACGGCGAGGTGATGGGCCGCTGGGGGCCGCAAGAGCATGATCAAGTAAGGGTTAAGGGTTTGGGGTTTGGGGTTTAGGGTTTAGGGTTTGGGGTTTAGGGTTGGAATGGTGCCAGGGCTAATGGTTTTGGGCTTCAAGGGCTTAGGGGGTTCATGGTTCAGGGGCTTTGGTTTTAAAGGTTTTTGAGGGTTTGCAGTTTGTAGTGCTTAGAAAATGGCAGCACCGCACTGTGTCGGGCACGACCTGTGGCTTCAGGCTGTTAGAATTCTGCCCTAAACCCTAAATAAACCCTAAGCTCTAAACCCCAAACCCTAAAACCCTAAAACCCTAAAAACCTAAACCCTAAACCCAAAACCCAAAACCCTAAACCCTAAACCCCAAATCCTGGAGGGTTTGGGCTTTCGAGCTCCGCACAGGTCCGACGGACGGGTCGGATGTGTTGCGACCGCAGCTCTGGGCCATCGGCCCCCCGCCTTGTAAGGAGAGGGGCGTCATGAGTGGTAGTTTAGGGTTTAGGGTTCGCAGGGGTCAGGGTTTAGGTTTGGGGGGGGGGGGGTAGTAGGGTTTAGGGTTTGGGGTTTGGGGTTAGGGTTTAGGGTTTAGGGTTTAGGGTTTAGGGTTTAGGGTTAGGGTTTAGGGTTTAGGGTTTAGGGTTTAGGGTTTTGGGTTAGGGCTTGTAGGACTGGAACGGCTGGGTTTATAGGGAACCAGGGTCAGAGCACGGTTTCTCTTTCTGGTAGAGTTTCTCTTTAGTGGTGCCTTTGCTTTTTTGCATGGGCTTAGGTAGGGTTTAGGGGTTTAGGGGTTTATGCTTTAGGGTTAGGGTTTACGGTTTACGGTTTAGGGTATTTGAGGGTGGGGGGGTGGGGGGGGGTGCTCGAGGTCCCCGAACAAAACCCCGCTGAATAAAACAGGGTTCCCCCTTTCGTTCTTCAAACAATTGGGAGCAGGGTTCTCTCAGCTGAAAACGCCCCCCTACGACCTTGACTTGGGGTTCAGGGTTTAGGGTTCAGTTTCTAGGGTTCAGAGTTTAGGGCTTAGGGTTTTTGAGTTTTTCGAGTCTGCGTCGTCCCCTCACATCCAGGCGAGAACCCTCCGTACTCGTACTACTCGTACTACATCTTCACGAACATCTGCAGGCGCCGGGTGTTGGCACTCTTGGGGGCTAAAGTCTTAGGTCTTAAGGGTTTAGGGTGTTTTGGGGTTTCTTGGGGTCGGTAAGTTTGAGGGCCACAGGAGTTTCCAGGGTGTCCTCATTCCTTCTTTGGCTTGTGCCGTCATTTCACGCTACGCGACCCGCTTCCGGCTCTAAGGCGGGCGTAGCATTCTGCAACTGTCAGGCCCAGGACTCAGCCATGATCTTCAAATCGGGCCCAGATGGCGTTTCCAGGGAGGTTTCCCAGGGAGGTGGTGAACTTGATTGGGGGGCTTCCTGCCAGGTCTGATTATTCAGACCTTTGGTGAAGAAGAAATTGTGACGCCACAAGTCAATCCAGCCTACTGTCTTCTTCACAGGGGTGACTTCTTGGATACAGGCCCCCGACCCAGACAAGCAGATGCTTTTGCTCCAGTGCCTGTGCAGACAAGGGTGGGCTCTCAAATCAATTTTTCCCCCTCGACCTGGACATGACCTTCGTGAAGGTGGGATTTAGGGTTAAGGGTTTAGGGTTTAGGGTTGCAGCAGATGACCTGCCGGTCCACACGTTGTTCGACGATCACTTGTTGCAGCAGCTCTTCCAGAAGATCTACCCAGAGAAGCCCGACAATCTGATACAGATCTGCCCTTATCCATTGGCTGTCTATGTAACCACAGAGCCAGCCAAGGGCCATGGCCCCATCCATGACCTCATGGGGCCACGGGGAGCGGGAGCCAGGGACGGAGCCATGAGGGGCCCCATGAACCAATAATGACCGGATGGATGGGTGGGGTGGGCAGAGTGCTGGGAGGATGGGGAGGGATGAAGCCATGGGTGGACAGGCCAAGACCCACAGGAATTGAAGCATTTCCTGTGGGTCCCGTGGGTAAGAGTACGTGGGGGGGGGGGGGGGCCCGCCCCAAGAAGGGGCCCATACTGTAGCCGAAAAAATCGTGACGAGGGGTTTCGGAGCTCAGTGGAAGCAATCCCTAAATCCCAAACTCCAAAAATCCCCAAGCAAGCGCTCCCCCCCCCCCCCCCCCCCCCCCCCCCCCCCCAAACCCTGAGCCCAAACCCCCAACCAGCCCTAGGCTCTGAGCGCTTGCGCCCTACAAGCTCTCGAAGTCCTCAACCCCAAATACCAAGCCCGAAGCCCTAAGCCCTAAACCCTAAACCCCACACACCAAAGCCCTAAACATGGCCTTGCCGCGGAGGTGGAATCACCTCTGCAAGTTGTTGGGCCGACCCTGGCATTTCACCTACCGACCCCACGCTGGCGAGGCTGCGCTTCCCTTTTTCATGAGTTGTTTAGGGTTTAGGGTTATAGGGTCTAGGGTCTAGGGTTTAGGGTTTAGGGTTTAGGGTTTAGGGTTTAGGGTTTAGGGTTTAGGGTTTAGGGTTCTAGGATTTTGGGTTTAGGGCTTAGGGTTTAGGGTTGAGAGTTGAGGGTTTAGGGTTGAGGGTTCAGCACTTTGTTGGGGGAATTCTCTGCCTTGTGGGCCCTTCTTTCATGAGACCATAACAAAAAGTAAGGATCCCAACAGGGACCCTAACTTTGAGAACCTCCCCCTTGTGTTTGAGTTTTTTGGCCGGCTTTTGCCCTACACCCTAAGCCCCAAGCCCTGAACCTTAAACTCTCAAACCCTTAGCCCTGAGCCGTAAACCCCAAGCCCTAAACCCTAACCCCAAGCCGCTGATCGCTCTGCTTGAGTTTTGGCAGACCTCAAAGCATTTTTTTTGCACGCCCCAGCCCATGTTGGCCCCCTGAAACCTCACATCTGACCTCCAAGCGCCGAAAGCCCGCTCAGGGGTTCAGGGTTTGGGGCTTCGGGTTTCGAAGCTCCGTAGGCCCCAAAAGCCCAGGCTGGTGAAGTGCACCACTTGGCAACGACCTTCCTGCTGGCAGATGGCGCCTAAGACTCTACAAAGCTCCCCCCTAAACCCTGAACCCTAACCCCTAAACCCTAAACATCCCTAAGCCCTAAACCCGAAACCCTAAACCCTAAACATCCCTAAACCCAAAACCCAGAACCCTAAACCCTAAGCCCGAAGCCTAAGCCCTAAACTTTAAACCCTCAACCTTCAAGAGAGGGTTTGGAGTGGATTTACGGTAGTTTCATGGGCCCTTTATCTGGTCCCGTGCCTCCTTTCAAGGGTTCTGAAGCATGGGCGCTTGGGGTTTATAGGGTATATAAGGGGTATATAAGGGGGTCCCCCTGTTAAGGGCCCATACTAAGGGACCATGTAACTACCCCAAAAGTGGGGGGTTTGTGAGGTTTTTGGGGTTTGGGCGGTTTGTTGGGCTTAAGGGGTTTATAGGATTTCTAGGGCTTGTTATGGTTTAATATAGGGTTCATTCATGAAACGGTTGATTGTGGAACGGGTTGATCGGGCTTATAGGCCGTGGAAACCTTTCGCGCAAGCGAGGCATCAACCACGGCGTCAACCTGCAACACTCGCCCGTGCTGCAGCTGCTCAGCCCTGACAGACAACCCTATGCCTCGTAAAGCCCTAAATCCCCAACCCCGACACCCTCAATTACCCTCAGAACCCCTAAGCCCTCCACCATAAACTCTGACCTGAGGCTGCGCGGCTTAGGGCTTTAGGGGGTTCCGACTGGGCGTCCTAAGAAGACTCATTCAAAGAAAGTGTGGTGTTTCAGCTCAGGTTGCTGCACTCAGTCTTCGGTCCAAGGGTGTTTAAGGTGTCTGTTGGTACACCGGTTGCGTCTGAGGTTATCGGCTTTGGGAGACAAGGCCGTTTTCAGCCCTAAACCCTAAACCCTAACCCTAAACCTTAAACCCTAAACCCTAAACCCCAACTCCTACGCAGTTGCGGTCGGGCTCAAGCGTCTGCCTCCAAAAGGCCACAAGCCCACAGTTCGTGTGAGGGACGATGGAAGCCCTCAGCCATGGCGACACTGTGCCCTAGATGCATGCAGGTTAGGGTTTAGGGTTTAGGGTTTAGGGTTTAGGGTTTAGGGTTTAGGGTTTAGGGTTTAGGGTTTAGGGTTTAGGGTTTAGGGTTTAGGGTTTAGGGTTTAGGGCTTGGGGTTTAGGGTTTAGGGCATGGCCAAGGCCTGGATGGCCACGTCCTGTGCTCTGGTGCTCTTCATGACGCCAGGCGTGGCAGCCATGTTAAGGGTTTAAGGGTTTAGGGTTTAAGGGTTTAAGGGTTTAAGGGTTTAAGGGTGTTTAGGGTTTAGGGTTTAGGGTTAAGGGTTTAGGGTTTAGGGTTTAGGGTTTACGGTTTAGGGTTTAGGGCTTGAGGGTTTAGGGTTTAGGGTTTAGAGTTCAGGGTAGCTGTGGTGTGTGGCACTTTCGTTTTCGGGTCTAGGTTTTTTGGTGTTTTGGGTTTATGCCAGCGTCCGGTTGGCATCTGATCGGTTTCGGGCTTAAGGATTTTTTTTTGGCGGGGGGTTCGGGTTCGGGAGTTTGGGATTTGGGGACTTCGCACAGGGTGTAGACCGCATTCCGTTCTGCAGGCTCTCCTCCCCCGTCTCCGCACTCCCTCGTGGTGTGCCTGACCACCCCCCGGTGTGAGTGGCTGAGTCTCACAGACTTCATCGCCCTAATTTCTTAACCCCGAACCCTATACTCCGTCAGGCCTTTCTTCAGGCCTCTAACCACCTACCGGTTTAGGTTGTGCGCAGATACCGCCCTAGAGCTCTGGGGCATGTCGCCTCTTTACACCTCGCGCTTTTTCAGCGCCTCTCTCCGCGCACTGCCTCTAACCACCCACGGGCTTAAGTTGTGTCGCAGATACAGTTCCTCCTCCGTCAGGCCTCGCATTCTTCTATGGCGGGCTGGTGCGCGACAGCAACATCGTGAACACCATGATGATGCCGCCGGGCTGCCACGTAAGAGACGACGAGATGAGCTGCTGCGCATGTCAGCAGGCCACAGCCTAAACCCGAGGTACCCAAAGCCCCAAGCCTCAGAGCCCGCTCGAGCCGCTACTTAGGTCGGTCATTTCTATGGGACTGACGACCATCACCTGGCTTGTGTTCGGCTTCACCTGGTCTTTCGATGAGTGGGGTGCCGGGAAGGGCTTCACGTACGTCGGCTTCCGCAACCTCGACACAGTCTGGCCCGGCACGACCATGCCAGGCACACGCCCCAGACTCCAAAAACCCCTCGGCTATGAAACGCTAGACCCGAAATCCTAAACCCTGGGCCCTGGAACCTGAACCCTGAACCCGGACCATCCTCACACCCCCCCCATTCTGGTTGACAAAAAAACGAAGTCCGGAGCATCCCTTCGCTGGAAAACTTCGAAACCCTTATTGGGTTCTTAAGGGGGGGCAGTTCATGGGGGTAGGTACCTAGGGAACCTTAGGGAAGCTTAGGGAGCCTTAGGGAGCCTTGGGACATACCCCCCCTTGAACCATTCACTAGACAGGTCTGACCTTCGCGATCTTCCAGATGACCTTTGCTTCTGGGCGCGCTCAGGGCAAACCTTTGGGGGTCTAGGGGTTTAGGGGTTTAGGGGTTCCAACAAAAAACAAATACATCAAGAAGTAACTGCTTAAACCCCAAACCCGAAAAGCCTAAATCCCTTAACTCAGGCCATTATTGCGGCGGCGATCATCTCCGGTGCCGTCGTCGAGCGCATCCGCTCCTCAGCTAAGCCCTTGCTGCCCACTCAAGTCGAAGGTTGAGAGGGTTTAGGGTTTAGGGTTTAGGGTTTAGGGTTTAGGGTTTAGTCTTACCTACTCCTGGGTTTGGGTTTAACTAGGGGTGTAGGATTTAGAGCGCAACTTTGGGATGAAATCCCTTATGGAGCAGCTCCTACCTTTGTCAGATTCCAGGCAGCACGAGCATGTTGACCTGACAACGAGCACCATCCCCTGGCACACTTCGCTTTGGGTTGGGTTTAGGGTTTAGGGTTTAGGGTTTAGGGTTTAGGGTTTAGGGTTTAGGGTTTAGGGTTTAGGGTTTAGGGTTTAGGGTTTAGGGTTTAGGGTTTAGGGTTTGCTGTGATAGGGCGTAGGTGCTGTGAAGGTTAGGTTTCGGAACAAGCTCGAAAGCTTCGTGAGGTGCGAAGAGCAGCTTTTGGCCCGATTGTGGAGGGCCATCTAATACTTTTCTCCCACCCCACGCCGTCCAAGGCGGCAAAGCCACCCAAACCTATTCCTTTTAGGGTTTAGGCCTAAACTCAAGGCAACAGTTCATTTTTTTTCATGAAGTTCGGGGGTGGGTCGGAGGCAAAGGGGTCAGGATCAAAGCCGTCAGGGGGGGCCAGGCAAGGCCAGAGGGGGCCAGGGGGCCGGGAGGGGGTCAAGGGGGGGCCAAGGCAGCGGGGGCCAGGGGGCCAGGGGGGGCCAGGGGGGCCAGGGAGAGGCAGGGGCCAGAAAAAATCGAGAAACCCAAAAAAGCACTTTTTGAGCGCCCACCCTGCCTGGACCAGCCCTGAGGCCCCCTGGTCCCTGGACACGCTGCGGTGAGGGGTCCAGGTCCTCCTGGCTTGGGGGCCTTGGGGTACCCTCCCCAGAAAAGCCAGCCCCATCCAGGGTACTTGAAATTTAGGGTATTTACTTTATTAAGGGGACCAGTACTGGTCCCCGGGAGAACCTGCTCCGGTACCGGGCCCATCGTGGGTGCTACCGACCTCCGGGCTGCAGGAGGCGGGCAAGCGACCTGGGTCGACTTTCGCCATCCAGGTCGAAGGGCTTAAGCGCCGCCCCCCTTCTGTAGGGGGGCGGCCTAGGCCCTGAGTTTAGGGTTTAGGGTTTAGGGTTTAGGGTTTCGGGTTTAGGGTTTAGGGTTTAGGGTTTAGGGCTAGGGTTTAGGGTTTAGGGCTAGGGTCCAGGATTCTCGGCTTACGCCATCTTCATCGTCGCCTGGGTCCTAGCGGTGTATGTGCCGCTGTGCCACTGGATCTGGGGCGGCGGCTGGATCGCCGAAATGGGTGCCAAGGATCGTTGGGAGCAGCGAAGCTGCGGAGCCCTTAGCCCTCAGGCCCCTAAGCCCGAAACCCCTGGACCCCTAAACTCTAAACCCTAAACCCTAAATCCCCTAAACCCTAGACCCCTTCAAGCCCTCAAGCCCTCAAGCCCTCAATCCCTAAACCCCTCAACCCCTGTCGCAATTCGACCATCTTCGGTCAGGATTGGGGCTGTTACCAAGTATATTGCCCCCCAGGACTTTGCAGGAGGCACCGTGGTTCACATCAGCTCTGGCACCTCCGCCTTTGCTTTGGCATCCCTACTCGGCGAGCGAAGGCGGCGAGTTTCGAAGTCTGTGAGTTTCACGAAACCCGAAACCCTAAACCCTAAACCCTAAACCCTAAACCCTAAACCCTAAACCCGAAACCCGAAACCCTAAACCCTAAACCCTAAACCCTAAACCCTAAACCCTAAACCCTAAACCCGGGGTAGGGTCGAAGGCACAAAGACGAGAGCTTCCCCTCGAACTTGCCCTTCGTGATCTTGGGCGGGGGCATCCTCTGGCTCCTTTGTAGCCTTTTCGGGTTTATTGGGTTTCTTAACAAGGAACCCCAAACCCGAAACCCTGAACCCTAAACCCTAAACCCTAAACCCTAAACCCTAAACCCCAAACCCCAAACCCTAAACCCGAAACCCGAAACCCGAAACCCGAAACCCTAAACCCTAAACCCTAAACCCTAAACCCTAAACCCTAAACCCTAAACCCTAAACCCTAAACCCTACACCCTACACCCTAAACCCTAAACCCTAAACCCTCCTAAGTGCAGCCAAGGCTCGGTTGGACCGGCTTCAACGGCGGCTCGGCCTTTGCGGCCAATGCAGACTGCGGCCTCGCCATCGCAACCACCTACATCGCGGCGGCTGCCGCGATGGTACCCTGGAGTTTAGGGTTTACGGTTTAGGGTTTAGGGTTTAGGGTTTAGGGTTTAGGGTTGAGGGTTGAGGGTTGAGGGTTGAGGGTTGAGGGTTGAGGGTTGAGGGTTTAGGGTTAGGGTTTAGGGTTCAGGGTTTCGGGTTTAGGGTTCCCAAAACCCAGGTCATGTGGATCACGGTGGAGCGCATCTTGGACGGAGCGCCCACCTCCGTGGGCGCGATGTCGGGAGCCGTGGCAGGGCTTGCGCCCTGGCCTAAGACACATGAGGAGTCTGTTCACCCAAAAGCAGCCTTAGGGTTTAGGGTTTAGGGTTTAGGGTTTAGGGTTTAGGGTTTAGGGTTTAGGGCCCTACCACTCCCCCAACCTCCAGCCAGTGCCAATCTGCCCGAAGTAGGACCGTGGAAAATCGCAGATCTTGGTCTTGTTGCCTGGTTTTTCGCGGGGGAGCAATTGAACTTGTTCCGCAGAACCCCCAGAACCCAGAACCCAGAACCCAGAACCCAGAACCCAGAACCCAGAACCCAGAACCCAGAACCCAGAACCCAGAACCCAGAACCCAGAACCCAGAACCCAGAACCCAGAACCCAGAACCCAGAACCCAGAACCCAGAACCCAGAACCCAGAACCCAGAACCGTAAACCCGAACCCTAAAGCCTAAAGCCTAAAGCCTAAACCCTAAACCCTAAACCCTAGACCCTAGACCCTAGACCCTAGACCCTAGACCCTAGACCCTAGACCCTAGACCCTAGACCCTAGACCCTAGACCCTAGACCCTAGACCCTAACCCTAAACCGCAAACCCTAAACCCCAAAGCCCTTCGAGGTGAACATCACCCCCTGCGCCGGCTTCGTGGAGCCCCTGGGCGCTCTCGCAGATGCTCGGCTCAAAGGATGCCGCAGAGCGAAGGGTTTAGGGTTTAGGGTTTAGGGTTTAGGGTTTAGGGTTTAGGGTTTAGGGTTTAGGGTTTAGGGTTTAGGGTTTAGGGTTTAGGGTTTAGGGTTTAGGGTTTAGGGTTTAGGGGTTAGAGTCCTGAAGCCCTTAGACAAGACCCTGAAGCCGTTAAGCCCTGAAGCATCTTGAAATTCTTAAACCCTTGAGCCCTCAAATCCGTAAACCCGTAGATCCTTTTGCCCTTCAAGCCCTGAGCCCCAAACTCTACGAGGAAGGGCCGCACTTGAACCATTGGACCC